ATATATATATATATATATATATATTTACTTTAACCCATGCAACAAGGGGACAAACAGGATGGAGAAACTGGTCGTACGTCACCTGAAGCTATTCCTCTTAGTGTAGTGGCACTCGACAGTATTGAACACCATTATGTCGCAGTATTGAAAGAACTCGCAATGGAGCCGAATCTAGAGCCATTTAAGGAAGAGTATGAAAAAATTCATCGTCTCCTGCGTAAGAGCAATGATGGAGAGAAACGTTTACTGCAAAAGATCAAAGAACTTCAGCAAGATTTAACAAGTCATGGTGCTAAAGTTGAAGCTGCGCTAAAGCTTTCGCATGAGGATGAAGAAGTTATAGCTGCACTACGTAAAGAAATTGAGAAGGCATGGGCTCTAGCTGACAGTGCCCATGCACATGAGAAAGAAAGCCGTGAGCACATCCAGGTACTTCGAAAACAAGTCTCTGAACTAGATGCTCTAGTAGACAAGAGCATGCGAAATACGATGGGACAAGAGGCGTACCTTCGTGATTTGATCATGTCCAAAAAGGATCTAGAGAATGAGCGTGTGGTGGCGCAGGGAAAAGTGGCTCGTCTACTGGATGAGCGTGATGCGTCGCGGAATAGTCTGGAGAAGACGCAGAAGGAGAACGAAGACACACGCCGGCAGCTGGAGGAGGGTCTCTTGCAGTACCAGAAGCTCCTGCGGGACCTTGCCGGGATGCAGCAGGAGCGGGAGAGCCTCGAGCAGCAGGTGCGGGAGTGCCGGGCAGCAAGTGACCAGCACATGGCCGCGATGGAGGAGCGGAAGGCCACGACGGAGCAACTCGCGGTGGAGGAGGGGCGGCTCAAAACCGTCGCGCTGGAGGAGCGGGACGCGGTGGGGCGCCTTGCGAAGAAACTGGAGGAGCAGCAGCGCCGCTTCAAGACAGAGGCGGACCGTCTCGCCACCATAGAGGCGCAGAATGCGGAGGTGAAGGTGGAGATTCCAAAGCTGAAGGCAACACTGAAGGAACGGATGGTGGAAGTGGCTCGGCTGGCCGCGGAAATGCGAAAGGTGCGTAAGAGTGCAGAGAACCAGCAGACAGAAATGAAGAAGCAACTTCAGATTCGTGATACCTTAGTTCAAGAGAGTGAACAATTACATGATCAAATTGAGGAACGGTTACGTGCATTAGGGGTAGAGGAGAAGGAACTACATGCGGAAGAATTACGTCTTAAACAGGCTATTCCAGAGAAGACACAATTACTTACAGACAATTCCCGTACAGAGAATGAACGTATGGCAATGGAAGGTCATCGTGTAGCGGAAGAGGGTAAACGACATAATCTAGCACAACAATTAGACCAACTTCTACGTGATAATGAACAATTACGCAAAAATATTTTTCTTCTAGAACAAGGTCAGACTAAAGTACTTGATCATGGACAGCATGTAGCACTTCAATATCACCAAACACTTGAACAAACCCGAAAACAACGAGATCGAGCTCAATTACTGCAGCAACAACTGACAGAAAATGAGAAACGTCTTAAAGCGCAGCAAGATTTACTAGACCGTGTTTGTACAGACCGTAGTCGCACACAAAAACAACTAAAAGAAAGTGAACTTGAATGGGCTGGACTAAAACAACGGTATCAATCTAATGAAGAAGATATCCAATTGCTAAAAATGCAACTTGTTTCAAAGGAAGGATCTCTTTGTCGTATGCATATGGTACGTAGACAACTTCAACGTGATATTAGTAATGCAGAACAGCGGGCTAGTCATTTAAAAGATGATGGAGCTAATGCTACGTCCCGTCGAGAAGCATTAGAAGCTGAAGCCCAGCAACTTAATCACCTTATTGCTGAATGTGATGCCGAAAAAAGTAAATATCAATCTAAATTTACGGCCCTCGTTAATGAGCGTAATGTACTCGCAACACAGTTAATACGCCGTAACGAAGAGCTTCGACTACTATATAGCAAAATTCGTTTGCAAGAATGTAGCCTTGAAAAAGGGGCCGCGGATTATGATAAACGTGTGCGAACAGTAATGGCTACGCAACAGGCAGTTGCAGAGCTGCGGTTACGGTGTCGTCTCGCCCTTGTACGTCTTCGCTATGCAGCAAAATTGCAGCGACGAAAACAAAACGTAGAGCGTGATCTCTTTATTGAACGTCAACGTTCTCGTGCGCTTGCGGATGAGTTGCAGCGTCCTGTTCATGTGCACCGATGGCGTCGCATGGAAGGCAATGCACCGGAGGTATTGGATGGAATTTACAAAGTACAAACACTTGAGCGGCAGATCCTCGCGAAGCACGACGCACTCGCGGAGAAGACGCGATTGTTAGCCATTCGTACTGCCGAGTACGAGGCGGTTCGGCGTAAACTGGCCGCCCTACCGGGGCCGGAAGTGGCAGAGGAGTTGAGTCTCTACAACGAGAACCTCGAGCGTCGTCGAGCGCAGATTGGTGGTATGGAGAGTGAGTTACGTGAAGTGGAGCAGCACGCCGATGTGATTGCGGATGAGGTAAAACAACTCACACTTGAGCTCGGAGATGTTAAACGGCGTTACTTTGATGCAAAGCATAAGAATGACTTACTGAGACGTGAACAGGCAGCGTTTCGTGCGACATGGGGCGGTTCATCCGCTGTTGCAAATATCGCTCTTGCTGCAGCTTCTGCACACCGACAACAAAATCAACAATCGGGTCAACAACAGCAACAATATCCGCAAAGTAGTAGTGGTGTAAATAGCAGTGCTAGAAATAATCAACAAGGAGCTTGGACGCCTCACCGTGTTGGTGCACCGCGAACGTGTTTGTGGTACACACGAACACAACAACGGCGTGAGCAAATCCGACAAGAGGCTCAATTGGTACAGGCCCTTTCCACTGGTGCACCGGCGCCGAACTATCCACTGCAGTTCCACCCGCGTCAGCGGCAGTTTGTGGGCGGCGGATTCGCTCTCACACGCTAACGCTGAAGATTGTGTGGTAACCGCCTCACATGTACAAAAATGTGTAAAACTTGACACATGTAACAATATACACACAAGCCAAAAAAAGAAAAAAAAAACAGGCAGAAAAAATGCAAAGAATGGTTGGGGCAAAAAGAGTGAAACTGAGATTGAGAGGAGAGTAAAAGAGTTAGAAAAAAAGGGTAAAGAAGTGAATTTCTCCCTAAATTTATGAGAGTCATTCTAGTATGAGATAGAATGTGCTTTTTACCATCATATATTTTTTTTTTCAATTCTGTATCCCATTAGGGTTATTATGTGGTGGTTAAAGCCATTTTTTTTTTTTTTCACTCTTTGTGACTCTTCCGAGTTAATATTCCTTTGCTCTTGTGTGTTGTTGCTCTGCCAGAAAATTGCCTTCATTCATTGTGTTTTTTTTTTTTTATTGTTTTGTCTTGAGTTTTTTTCTCAGATCGTATTATTATTTTAAAAAAGTATTTTTGACTTTTTTTTCCCCTTCTTCTTTTTTCGCTTTGTTGTTCTTTTTTCTGTGTGATTGAGATGGACGAGAATGCACAAGACATTAGGGAGCATTGGAAGAAATGCAGCTGCAACAGCTGCTGGTACTATCGGTAATACTAGTAATGGTAATGGTAGTGATGCTACATCTACATTAGGTGTTTTTCAGAATGTGCATATCAAACCTTTTCCTGTGCGTGCTGCGATTGACATTGGAACTGGGGGTATGGCATCACTAACAGTTGGACGTGTGGATGCGGCACATAATGCTGTACGTGATTTTATGTATCAGACACAGGTACCACTTTACCTTCAGTCTGCTACTTCTACGACAGCATCGCACTCTTCTTCTTCTTCTTCCTCGTCTTCTTCCTTTGTAATGAGTGAAGAGACGCGGATTGACATTCGCAACAAGATGCGCCTTTTACATGGTGCGTTGCGCCGTGATAACTACGATGGTCTTAGCGAGCGAGCGGCAGTCATCTCATGGCCGTTGTGTGAAGCGGCTGATGCAGTATCTCTAGCAGAGGAATTAACACGCGAATTTAAAGTGGATGTACGTGTACTTGGAAAAACGTTTAACGTAGAAATGCCCTTTTTAGGGTCTTCTGAAACCTCAAATAGTATGCAGGTTGTGAATCTTCCTCAAAAAGAAAATACTCGAAACTTCGTTAAATGCAACAAGGAAACTTCTGGAAATGATAGCTTGCAATTGCTTATGCAACGTGTTGCACGTCGACGAGAGCGTCAACGTCATAATCCTCAGGATCTAAATGCAGAAGATGAAGTAAGTTGTGTCGTTTCACCTAAACTGCAGATGGAGCAACTTTCTTTTTTAGCACATGCTGCTGTTAGCAAGTGTATCGCTCCTCAACGCATGCTGGTCCTCATGGAAGATTCCCACAGAGGTCTCTGTATACTTGGAACTGATACTACACCATCAGATGGAAAAGAATCTAGTGAAGTTAACGAAAACAGCAGTAGAGAAGATATCATTGTATCATCTGAAGAGACAAATTCAAGTAAAATGTTGTTACATGTGTTACCTGTGGATACTACTGTAGCCCATCGTTTGTTACTTACAGTAGTACAACGTCGTGATGGAGCCTCTGGAAATAATGGAGGACGGCGTAGCCCTAATCCTGTTCTTCGCGAAGAATTTCAACAACTTCGGCATCTCTTAGAGGAAATGGTATGCCAAACGTTACCAGAATGGGTATTACTCAAGTCTCGTACTGGTGGTGTTATATGTGGATCAAGTTTCAACGATGGTGTGCTTAACATTGCCGCACGGGTTTCACAGCGTACAAGCGTGTCTCTAGATCATCTTGAAACAAATGCGCTAATGCACTACTGTGGTCTTACAGATATATTGTTAGCTGAAAACTATACAGATCCAACTGTTGTTCTGCCAAATGCTGCCGTCGCCAGCGCAATAATGCGTGCCCTTGAGACGCGGCGCTTTGAGTATCTGCCAGAGGTAAACGTCGCCGCCGCTCTTCTTATTCAACCATCTCTGTGGACATACGGACGACGGGAACGTATACGAGGATCATTACAGACAGACTCATTCTACAGTGGTGGTAGTAAGCGTCGCACATTTCGTCGACCACATTCACGTGGGAATCCTACTGCTTCACCAGAGGCATCATGGCAACATAATCAATCATGGAATCCACTATCATATGAGAATAGCACTAAGGGAACATGATGGGTTAGTGAAGAGAGAAGTTCGATAAAAAAAAAAAAAGAGAGATACAGTATATAAATGCTATACTATGGTTTATATTTCTCTTACTTTTTATACAATATTTGCTTTCTTAAAATAAATTAAAACACACACACACATACATACACATAAGTATCATTTTTAATTATTTTATTCCTCTTGTTATTGTTTTTGGTGTTCTTATTCTTATCATTACTTTTGTTATTCTTTCTTTTTTTTTTGATTTTTTTTTTTTTATATAATATATATTGCTTAATGTTAACTCAGTAAGGTTTCTATACGTTTTGGTATTTAAAGATATATAATGTCGAGTGTTATTCTAGGGACCCTACTGCTTCTTTTCCTACTAATCTTCGGTGCTATGTTTTTCCGTCGCAAGCCAGTGACGGCCCCCCTTCCCGGTGCTGCTAAGAAGGCGGCGTCATTTCACTCGGGGGTGCCTGACAGCGACGAGGATATGGAGGAAGAAGAGGAGGAAAGAGAAAAGGAGGAGGAAGAGGAGAGAGAAGGGGAGAGAGAAGGACGAGGGGTGAAGCCCTCTCGGCTGCGGAGGCGGCGGGAGGAGAGGGAACGAGAACGGGAGGAGCGGCGCCGGGCGGTGGAGGCGCAGCAGGAAGCCCAGCGGCTGCGGCAGGAGACTCAGCGGCAGCGGGAGGAGGACCGCGAGCGCGAGGAGGCGGAGCGGAAGGAGGCGGAGGAGAAGGCGCTGGAGGAACTGCGCGAGGAGCGGCGGCGACGCGAGGACGAAGAATACGCCAAGTGGGTGGGCGCCATCGGCGTGGAGGAGCGCGGCGAGTTGGGTGATGAGGAGCGTACACGGCGGGAGACATTGGTGGCGTTTGTGACAGCGCGAGGGAGGGAGCTGGAAGAGCGTCAGCAACAACAGGAACAACAAAGTGGAGAACACGCAGTGGCTGCTGCGGTTCCATCAGAGGATGACAAGGGGGCACGGAATATATTGGTGCTGAGTGATGTAGCTCGTGAACATGGTGTTACAGTTGATGTGGTTGTACAACTGATAGAGAAGTTGCTAGAAGATGGGATAATTAGTGGTGTCTTTGACGACAGAGGGAAGTTCGTGATGGTAGCTGAGGCGCATTTTGTAAAAATTGCAGAGTTTATTCAGCAACGGGGACGTGTTTCAGTGAGGGAACTCGTGAGAGAATGCAACAGGGTGATTTTATCATGATACTTTTTATGTTTCACTTTTCTCCTTTTACAACTGTATACGTTATCTCTATCTCTCTTTCTATCACCTCAGTTCACTAATATTATTCACAGAGAAAAATGTCAGATGCAAATAATAGTGTTTAGAAATACCTTTTTTTTT